AAAAAAACCCGACGACGAAAAGAAAAAAACCACAAAACAAAAAACGGTGCTGATTCTGGTGTGATTTTTTGCTCACCACGTGAATATAAACTATCAATTGTATAAAAAAGAACAAAGTGATTTTAGTATAAAATGCAGGAAAAAAAAAAACACAAAACCTTTTTTAAATTGTTAGTATTGTAGTGTGAATAAATTCGCCATCACCTTTTGTGTGGTGGCTGGGCAGGTCATTATCTTAATTTCTTTTTTTTTTTTTTTTTTTTTTTGCATATATTTTAATACTTTAATTAGTGCAGTTACAGGTTGGGTTTTTTTTGTTTTTTTTTGTTCATCTCTTCTAGAACATTCATAATGCCGTCATGTTTATTATTATTATATTTTTTTTTTCTGTTCATGTTTTTTGACAGTTTTAAAGATGCAGCCTTTTGGCTCTGATCATTTTCTTGTTCTGTTTTCAATGAAATCAATAAAAAAAAAAAGAAAAAAAAAAGTAAAAAAAAAAAAGAAAAAAGTGCTTTAAAATGAGTTTGGCCTCTGCTTGCCCTCTGCGCCGCGTTCCTCGTCCTCATCGTTGAGAGCGAAATGAAGAAGGTGAGCAGTAAGACCTGGGGTGCTTTCAAGCCAGTGCAAAGATGCCCAACCGTCTGGTTTGGGATTTGCTTGTCCCAAATCTCCTGCATGGAGGCGATTTCCCATCCCAAAGGGCTGCCAGTGGGGCTGAATGTTCCCTGCCCCAGCCGTGGCGCTGCTGGGCTGCAGTCTGTGCCTCCCTCTGCTTCTGAATCAGAATCCTGGTGTCCTTGGAGTCCGAGGGGGCTCTGAAGGGAGCTCTGAGGGCCACCCGGTCCAACTCCCCTGCGATGCACAGGGACACTGCAGCTCCATCAGGTTGCCCAGAACCTGATCCAGCCTCGCCTTGGAAGTCTTCAGGGATGGGGCATCAACTTCTGGAGTAAATTTGGGGGCCTTGGACACCTTGGTGGCCAGTTTGGTCGTTGCCAGTCGCAGGGGGAAATCACCTGGCTTCTGTGCTGCCTCTCAGAGCTGGGTTTGCCCCCAGCACGTGGCTTTGCTGAGCGTGTTGGGGCAGTGATGTCCAAGCGCTGAGCAGCAGCATTTGGAGCTGTCAGGGGGTTCAGGTGTGCCCTGAGGGTTCCTCATGGATGTCCCTTGCACCCGTGTCCCATCAACAGCCCTTCATGCACTGTGCACCAGGAGAGGGAGCTCCCACTGCTCTTTTCTCAGTTCTGCATTAAAGTTTTGGGGACGTCTTCAACAGCTCCACCCCACCTCACCCCATCCCATCCCTCATTGCATTGCCGTTCTCCTTGTTTCTCTGTGTGCTCTGCTTGAGGGCAGTTGGGCACTAATCCTCATCAGCTGCAAGATTTGCTTGCCAAGAAATCCCACTTCTGCTGTTGGGATTGCAAGGGCTGCAGTGAGAGTGCTGGGTGGAACCCTGGGACCCCAGTGTGCCGTGGCACGGAAGGTCGTTTAACTACAGCCCAGTGTTGTACAGTGAAGCATCAGAATTAAAATAATGCACTTCAACTGAAGGGGAGAAGTGGAAAAAAGCCAGGAAATCCCATTTCTGAATGGAACTACCCCTGCACCACTACCTCCCTGGGGTAGGTTCTCTTTGGGTTTAGTAGTCCAGGTGTGTTCACTGTGTTGAACTGTCACCGTTAGGGATGTATGTGTTTGCCATGCACTTTCAGTCCAGTGCTGTTCAATGAGCTCCCACAGCCAGAGGTGAGGATTCTGGCTGTGTCCAGTGAGATCTCACAGCCAGCTTAACAAATAGTGTGGTTTATGGAAGCATCAGATGCACGGATCTTTTGGGTTGCCAGTGATACATTTCCCATCTGCAAAGCACGTGCACACACAAAGAATGAGAATAATGCAGCCTGGCCACAAGAGGTTACAGAACAACTCCACAGAGATCTCCAAGCTCCCTGTGGAAATGCTCCTACAGCTGAGTGTTGGAATCTCACCCAAGGCATCAGTCCATGTGGGAGGGAAGAGGGGCTCAGCCTTCAGTGGATGCCAGGAATCAGAGGTGATCTGAAATCTGATGGTATCTTCCCCAACATCCCCCTCTCTTGAGCCGTTTTTATATGATTTCTCATTTTCAGGTCACACACCTTTGCTCTGAGGGTTGTGAAGTTCTGTCCCTTTGCTGCTGAAGGAACAGACCTGAAGAAGGCAGGGCGCAGGCTCAGCTGCACCTTGCCTACAGGCAGCTTTCAGGATGGAGGTGTGTTCTGGTATTATTATGAGATTATAATGAGCAACGTTCACCCAAAGGATGGCTGTCCAAAAATGACAGTCTGCTGGCTCAGTTAGAAAATACACAGCTCATCAGCCCCATAATCCCACATTCCCATGGTGGTGGTGATGTCCTCACTCCATTCCACTCTCTGTGCCATTTTCCTTCCATCCATCACACCAAGCTGCCCTCCTGTTGCCCACACCTCAGCTTGCCCATGGATCTCCTGCACAACAGACTCCTTGCACACTGCCTGCGCTCTGCTTTTGCCTCTTTCCTTACCACGTGAACAATGCTTTAATTCCAAGTCACCTCTAGCAATTATCCCACAGGAGCTGATGCTGTTGTGGGAATGCTTTATCCAAAGGGGTGCAACCGCTGTCATGTTATATCTTGCTTGCAGCCCCGAGTTTTGGAGTGAAGCAATGGCTCCTCGTGTTCTGTGGGTATGAAGCCTTTGCTGCACACGCCCTGGGCTGCCTGAGGATGTGTTCGCAGCTCTGATTTGATTCTGTTTGAAAGTAGGATTTCTTTTCTTTTAATGTGGTGAGAGCATCTGATTCAGGCTTTGCTCTCAGGCTGCTGCGTGTAGCTTTGCTCGTGGCAGCTGCTGGCACAGGAGGATTGCTTTTCCTATTCACTCTCTGCTGATGCTCCCCTCGGCTCCACTTACAACACAAAGAAATCTCCAATAATTCATTTGCCTTCATTTTGGCACCTGCCTGCAGAGCTTCATGGCATCCCCAGGGCCACGCAGCTGCCCCAGCACTGGATGATGAATTTTTGTACAGGTGGGAAGGGGGACACAAATCCACCTATGGGGAGGGACATGGAGGGGTTGTGCAACCCAAAGCATTGCACAGCATCCCATGGCATCCCGATGCTCCTGGAATCTGTAGGATCACCCCAAAAGCCCAGGGCTGCAGCAGGTAGGAGCTGTCAACACAGCTGTGTGACTTCACCCCACCCCTCATTTCTGAGCCTGTGCCAGAGCTGTAAGCAATATCCCTTTACTTCACAGATAGCACAGAATATTCCCTCAGCTGCCAAAAGTGTTCTGTTATCGCTTTGCTCATTTCCTCCCCAGCATGCAGGCAGGGTGAGGGGCTGCTGCTGGTGGGGAAGAGCTCAACCACCCAGAGGCTGAAGGCAGTGGACACAGGGGCTGCAGGTCCAGCCCTCCCAGCACCCAGAGACAGCAGATACTGGTGAATGCCATGTGGTCATGCCACGTCTGCTCTTACAGCAGGGATGTGGAAGGGATCCTGTTGGAAGGGGTTTCCGATAGGAGGAATTTCTGATGGAAGGTATCCCCATGGAAGGGGGCCCCCAGCAGTGAGGAAATGCTCCTGTACCCAGAAAGTTTGTATTTAGAATGAATAAATAACCCCCAGCTCATCTGGAATGAATGGGGAGGTGGAAGGAAGGGACTGTTGGCAACAAGTGGCCCAACCACATTTACACCCCAATCTCTATCAGCTCAGTGCCAGCAGAGCTGCCAGAACATTTGGGGCTTTTTAGGTCACAGTTCACCACCCTGGAGGTCTTTAAGCTTCTATTGTCCCTAGGAGGAAGGTGCTGGCTTTGACAGTTGCCCCTTCTCAGGAATGCAGGGATCAGGGTGTTTATGCCATAAGGCAGACAAATGCCATCACTGAGCCTTTGCAGCCTGGTGTTGGGCTGATTCAACTCATCCTTACAGCTGGGATTAAAGTCATCCTTACAGCAAACCTCCCCAGCTGACCAGCTAGGGGCAGGGCATCAGCAAAGTAAGCCAAGAGTTTGTTTAAATCCATGGAGCTCTGCTATCTAACAGGAATGACAGGAGATTACATTATGCAGAGGGCTGGCTATTTTAAGAGGGAGCCACTTGCCAAATTTCCTGGTTGCAGAAGTCTTTAATACTGCTGCTGGAATAGAAAGCTTT